TTATGCTGAGATGTTTTATCTAGTCCTATTCTCTCTGGGAAAATATAAATATATTTTATACTATATAATATATAAGGTATGATGGAATTTTGTCCGTGGCTTTTCCTGCATCATTTGAGATGATCCTGTCATTTTATTTTTGTGCAGTCCTGGCTGTCCTGAAACTCACTATGTAGATCAGGCTGGTCTCAAACTCATAGAGCACAACCTGTCTCTGCCTCCTGAGTGCTGGTGGTAAAAGCATATATTACTATGCCTGCCTAGATTTTTGTGTTTAAGTCAGTTTATGAATTTATTATAAGACAGGCAGTGGTGTCATATGCTTTTAATCCCAACACCTAGGAGGCAAAGGCAGGTGTATCTCTGTGAGTTTGAGAGCAGCCTGGTCTCTAGGTGGTCCCAGGACAGTCAAAGCTACCAGAGAAACCACATCTTCAAAAACAAAACAAGAAAGAGGGAGAGATTTATTACATTCATTGTATATGTTGAATTCTCCCTGAATCTCTGAAATAAGCTCAACTTGTAAATGGAAAATAATCTTTTTCATGTATGCCTGTATTAGTCTGCAGGTATTTTAGTGAGCATTTTTTGATCTATGCATCAGTGATATTAGCCTATAAGTTTTAAAACTTATTCATTGCTGTGGATTTAACTGATTTTGATATTAGAGTAATAGTGGCTTCAAAGAAAGAGCTTGGGAATGTTTTTTTATTTTTTTTATTTACACTTTAAGAAGTATTGGCTGTAGATCTGCTTTGAAAGTTGGCTTTGGAATTCTGCTGTGAATCCACATGTGACTGAAATATTTTAATTAGAAGTCCCTTTGATACTGTTTAAATCTTCTTATGAGTCTTTTTAGATTGTTGATCACTTGTCTTGGTTTAATTTTGGTGACTTAGCTAAACCTAATATTTTGTACATTATTTTTAGATTTTCCAACTGAATAGAGTATAGATATTTACAATATACCCTTAAAATGTTCTGAAATTCCTTAGTGTCTGTTGTAATGTTTCCCTGTCCATTTTTGATATTTTCTATTGATTCTTATTGAGCTCTACATTTTTTTCTGCTACCCTCCCTGCCTCTCCCCTCCCCTTCAACCTTCCTCCAAGGACCCCATGCTCCCAATTTACTCAGGAGATCTTGTCTTTTTCTACTTCTCATGTAGATTAGATCTATGTATGTCTCCCTTAACGTCCTCATTGTTGTCTAGGTTCTCTGATTGTGATTTGTGTTTTTTTTTTTGCTTTATGTTTAAAAACCACTTATGAGTTAGTATATGTGATAATTGTTTTTCTGTGTCAGGGCTACCTCACTCAAAATGATGTTTTCCAGCTCCATCCAGTTTCTTGCAATATTCAAGATGTTGTTATTTTTTTCTGTTGTGTAGTACTCCTTGTGTTAATGTACCACATTTTCCTTATCCTTTCTTCAGTCGAGGGGCATTTAGGTTGTTTCCAGGCTCTGGCTACGACAAACAAAGCTGCTATGAACATAGTTGAGCACATGTCCTTGTGGCACAATTGAACATCCTTTAGATATATACTCAAAAGTGGTATTACTGGTTCTTGAGGAAGGCTGTTTCCTAATTTTCTGAAAAATTGCCACACTGACATCCAAAGGGGTTGTACCAGCTTGCATTCCCACCAGCTATGCAGTAGCATTCACTTTTCTCCATAACCTCTCCAGCATAAATTGTCTTCCATGTTTTTGATCTTGGCCATTCTTACAGGTATTAAGATGGAATTTTAGAGTTGTTTTGATTTGCATTTCTCTGGTGATTAAGGGCGTTGAACATTTCCTTAAGTGTTTTTCAGCCATTTTAGATTCCTTTGTTGAGTGTTCTCTGTTTAGGTCTGAACTCCATTTTTTATTGGATTATATGTTCTTTTGATGACCAATTTCTGGAGTTCTTTGTATAATTTGGAGATCAGACCTCTGTCTGATGTAGGGTTAGTGAAGATCTTTTCCCATTCTGTAGGCTGTCGTTTTGTCTTGTTGACCATGTCCTTTGCTTTACAGAAGCTTTATAATTTCAGGAGTTCCCACTTATTGTTTCTTTCAGTGTCTGTGCTGATGGGGTTTTATTTAGGAAGTGGTCCCTGTGCCAATGTGTTCAAGTGTACTTCCCACTTTCTCTTCTATAAGGTTCAGTGTGGCTGGCTTTATATTGAGGTCTTTGATCCATTTGGACTTGAGTTTTGTGCATGGTGATAGATATGGGTCTATTTTCATTCTTCTACATGTTGATATCCAGTTATGCCAGCACTATTGGTTAAATATCCTTTCTTTTTTCCATTTGATATTTTTTTTGCTTCTTTGTCAAAAATCAGGTATTTGATGGTGTGTGGATTAATATCTGGTTCTTCTATTCAGTTACATTGGTCCTCCTGTCTGTTCTTATGCCAATACCAGGCTGTTTTCAGTTCTGTAGCTCTGTAATAGAGTTTGAAGTCAGAGATTGTGATGCCTCCAGAAGTTCTTTTATTGTACAGTACTGTTTTGGCTATCCTGGGTTTTTGTTTTTCCATATGAAGTTGAATACCATTTTTTCGAGGTCTGTGAAGAAATTTGCTGGTATTTTGATGGGCATTGCATTGACTCTGTAGATTGCTTTTGGTAAGATTGCCATTTTTACTATGTTAATTCTGCCTACCCAAAAACATGGGGGATCTTTCCACTTTCTGTGTTTTCTTCAACTTCTTTCTTCAAAGATTTAAAGTTCTTGTCATACAAGTCTTCCACATGTTTGATTAGAGTTACTCAGAGATATTTTAAGCTATTTGTGGCTATTGTGAAGGGTAATGTTTCTCTGATTTCTTTCTCAGCCCTTATATCATCTGTAGGAGGGACTTTTTTGAGTTAATCTTGTATCCTGCAATATTACTGAAAACGTTTATGAATTATAGAAGTTCCTTGGTAGAATTTTTGGGATTGCTTATAAACTACCATATCAAAAGCAAATAGTGAGAGTTTGACTTCTTCTTTTCTGATTTGTATCTCTTTGATCTCCTTTTGGTGTTTTATTGCTCTAGCTAGGACCTCAAGAACTATATTGAATAGATATGGAGAGAGTGGACAACCTTGTCTTGTTCCTGATTTAGTGGAATTGCTGGGAGTTTATCTCCATTTAGTTTGTTGTTGACTGTTGGCTTGTTGTATATTGCTTTTATTCAGATATGTTCCTTATATCCTTGCTCTCTCCAAAACCTTTATCATGAAGGGATGTTGTATTTCTTTGAATGGTTTTTCGGCATCTTTGAGATGATCATGTGGTGTTTTTTTTCAGTTTGTTTATATGGTGGATTACTTTGGCAGATTTTCGTGTGTTGTACCATCCCTGCATCTGTGAGATGAAGCTGAATTGATCATGGTGGATGATGGTTCTGTTGTGTTCTTGGATTCAATTTGCCAGTATTTTATTTAGTATTTTTGCATCAATGTTCATGAGTGAGATTGGTCTGTAATTCTCCTTCTTAGTAATGTCTTCCTGTGGTGTAACATGAAGGGGCCTGCTCGTTGGGGTTTATGTCCTGCCCAGTTCCCCACAGCCAGCAAGCCCAAAGAAAATCACACAGAGATCTCCATAAGTTATAAAACTGATTGGCCCATTAGCTCAGGCTACTTATTAGCTCTTGTAGCTTATATTAACCCATTATTCTTATGTATGTTAGCCACATGGCTCGGTACCTTTCTCAACGGAGCAGCCACCCTTCTGAGTAAAACCACCCACTGTCTCACTCCGTGTGGGATTCTATTTCGATAAAGGAAAAGATTCTCTTTACCTTTCTGAACCCAATGTCAACTCAACCAGAATTAATCTTTTCTTTGGTGAGCCTCCTGAGAACACATGTGGGTGTCTCTGGGACCCCTGAGATCAAAGTTCAAGCTGCTTTGCTCCAGCCTGACTCTCCAAAGCTGTGCTTCCTTCTCCTTTCTAGATGTCTCTGGTTGCTCCATCCTATATTTAGGTCTCTATTTCTCTCAGCCCAGGAAGGGCAGGGTTCTTTAAGGAAAGACAGGGTTGTGGGAATGGGCTTCCAGGCCTGTGATTTTCAGAGAACACCTGGGCTGTTCTGGAGAGTAATTCCACAGAATTATCTATTTGTGATCATGGATGGAGCTGCCCTGAGCTCAGAGGAGGCTGGGAGTAGAATGGACCTATGAGAGCAGAGAGTGTGGCTCTGGTGGTATGTATGTCTGTCTAAGAGACCAGTATGTTCTCACCACGGGAAGCAGCCAGACTCTTGCTTGTTAATCCCAATGATGTAGGGGACAGTGATGAAATTCTTCTCAGTCAGGATCTCTTCTGATGTCTTCAGTAGCACCACCCCATCGTTCCTTATGAACGGGAAGGGATAGTTGGCGGGAAGGGATGAAGGGAGTGGATGAGATTACTCTGCCCAGGTAACAACTGTTTCTGTCCTGTGCCCGACTCAGGCCTTAGTCAGCAATTGACTCCTGTGATCACAGAAACTCTAGGTCCTGAACGGGGCTTAGTCTATGACTCACCAACAATAGGACCACAACTGTGGAGGCAGGCAGTGATAAAGTAATATTGGTAGGGAAGGGCTATGGAGGCTTGACCAAAGTGAAGTAGCACACACACACACACACACACACACACACACACACACACACACACACGCATGAAATCACACATGGACATACACCTTAAATTGTAGCTGAGGGTGTAAAAGTTCAGTGAGTCCTGAATGAGCCAATACTACTGGTCAAGAATAATTCCAAAGTTAGGGCCTGAGAGGTTCTAGTTGGAATATTCATAACATTCACCTTTGTTTTGTGTGTCCATTCACATGAAAGACACATGAATACAGTTGACTTGCACATTAGTTATTTGGAGAATTCACCATAATGAGATTCTAACTGGAGATGATTTGTTTTACTGACTCCAAGCAACATAACTGTTAGGAATTTTGTTAACATGAGTTCTCTGTCGACACAAAAGTCCCAATCAAGCAAAATCACAACAAGCCAAATTAATAAATATCCAGGTTTAATGGGATTCCTGCGCTCTTGGGTGGCCCCGAGGGGAAACCGGGAAGCCTCAAGCATGACCACCACTAGGGTGGGGGGGGGGGAAGGAAAGAGACCACATGGGAACTTTTTGGGGAAGCAGTTTAAGATTTTGGTGGGCTGTCTTGGCCCTGCTCCCGGGAGGTTTCAAGGCTTGGCGGGCACAGGGATGGGGACTCCAAAGATGGAGGCCAGAGACCAGGACTTACATTCCAGACTGTTTGTATAAGGAGCAACAAGAAGCTGAGGTGATATTTTGACTAACACTTAGGCTCTCTTAGGAAAAAGGGGCGTTGACTCAAGTCTGGCTACTTCCTGCGGGCATGGGACGATGTGGGGAAGGGGAGAGCTGGGTGTTGGTGGGTCCACGCTCAGCAAGAAGTGTGGCTGGAAAGGCATCCCATGTGCTGTCATCCCGGAGACGCCAGGCATCTGTTCCTTGGGGGAGGTGAGAAGGCAGGTGTCTAGGAGAAAAAATATTGTTATCACCAAAATGAGTATGCCTGGATGAGAAGCAGGTAGGCCCTTCACTGTGGCATCCTGGAAAACCAGAGGGTGGAAGGTCCTGTCTGCTGGAGTAGGTGCCCGCTTGGGCCTGGAGAGATGGTACGAGCATGGGTGTCCCAGGAGCTTGGCAGCCGAGGGGTTGGTGAGGATGACCATGTGAAGTCCTGTCCATCGAGGTTTGAGAGACCTAGGAGTTAGCTGTTTGAGGAGGACTCTGTCCCCTGGGGAGAGCGGGGACAGGTTTAGGGGCATTAGGGTCCACTAGTGTGGTGGCAGGAAGATAACTGTCAGTGTGTGAACAGAGAAAGGATCTTAAAAGGGAGAGGTAGGGTAGATACCCCACCAGTGGAGGAGTTTGGACTGGGAGGTGATGGTTAAGGAGAAAGGGACTGGGCCTGCCATGAAGCAACTCAAAAGGGCTCAGGCCCATAGGGAAACATGGGGTGGTCCTGAGGCAAGTCAGGGCAATGGGGAGAAGGGAGGGCCAAGATAACCTGAGTTCAATGGAGGGCTTGATTAGTTGTTGTTTGATGAGTCCACTGGCCTTCTCCACCTATCCAGAGGATTGTGGATGGTAGGGGGTGTGGAATTTCCAGGAGATGTTGAGAGCTTCTGACACAAGCTCCATGACCCTGGAAGAAAAGGCTGGCCCATTGTCAGTCTGGATGGATTGTGGGACACCAAACCGAGGAATGATGTGGTCCAAGGAGGCCAGAAACGCTTCTATCCATCCTGTAAAAGTGCCCACAAGTGTTAAGAGATAATGGGGTTTTTTTATGAGTAGGCATATGAGTAAAATCAACCTGCCACTCTTTGCCTGGTTGGTGTCCACGAAGCTGCTGTAGAGACTGACATATGTGAAGAGCCCCTTGTGGGTTGGCTTGGGCACACGTCTGACAGGAGGAGTGAACCTGAAAAATAAAATCTTGGAGATGGGTGTGGTCATAAAGGGGCTTCAAGAAGTGGAACAAAGCTTTGGGGAAGTGGCTAAGGATATCTCCACCCAGTAAAGGTGCTAGGCAAGCCGGTATCACTAAGAAAGAATGAGAGAAAAATTGTCCTGCAAGAATGTAGGGCCGTGGCAAAGTTTTAAGTGGGGAGGAATGGGTCCCGTCTACCCCCATAACTGAAATTGGTGAGGGGAATGTAAGGCCCGAGTGAGATGTTAATACAGAATAGGTAGCTCTCGTGTCCAAAATAAAAGTAATGGACTTACCCGCTATCTGCAGCTTTACCCTAGTCTCGGAAAGGGTTACGGGATATACCAAGTCTGGGCACCGTCAATCCTCTGCAAGGCTGAGAAGTTTGAAGGCTGGCACAGTTTCACTTGCCAATGTTGGTGAGGCTGGACCTCCATGGCGTGGCATAGAGGACAAACCCGCACGGGGGCATTGTGATTTCCAGTGTCCAGTCTGCTGGCAGATAGGGCATAACCTCGGAGGAGGCATAGTGCAATATCGTGTCACATGACCATTTAGGCCACACATGAAGCAGCTTGCCTGTGAGGTTGACTTAGGTTGGGCTTCATCAGAGTAGAGCCTTGTGGTTGGCTTCCCTTGTCCCCCTTCCTTGACCTTAGGGCAGCTGCTAAGGCCTGGGCCTGCAGATTGTTGTAGCCTTGTCTGTCAGGAAGACTCAGCTGTTTTTTTTCTCGGGCATTAAAAACTTTAAAGGCCATTTTCACCAATTCCTGTATAGGGGTTTGGGGACCCTCCTCAACCTTTCTTAACTTTAAGCAGAAGGATCAGTAGAAAAGGAACCTAGCCACTTTTCTATCTGAGAGGGATCTGGAAGAGAAAAGGGAACATGAACTTTCATAATGCAATTGACTTCCACCACCTCCTGGAGAGGACAGAGAAGGGAGGATCTATGGTGGGATCTGGTATGGGAGGAGACTGGGGAGAATTGAGAGGGGCTATCTCAGTGCACAGAGGGGGTCCAAGGGTGGGGAGATGAGGTAGGAGGGGGAGGGGGAGAGGAAAGTGGATAAGGTGGAAGTCGACCTTGAACTTCTGGATTGGCAAGGGAGGGAGTAGACCAGGAAGAAGAGAAATGTGAAGAATGTTGTTCCATAAAATGGGGTTGGGTAGCATGGGCTTGAGGGAGTAGGGGAGGGGCCAGTGCCTCTGGCTGCATGGTCCAGCTGGAATTGTTGGGGTCCCAATTTTCAGATGATCAGGAATTTGGAGGTGTTGTAGCCTTAGCTACCAAGACCCGTGCTGTGAGACACTGGCTACCAAGGGAAGGGTGAGAGTGCAGAATCCAAAACCCATGGACATACGTAAGCTCTGCCCATTTGTCCTTATGGTGACAAAAATTTAAATTAGCCATTCGAGACAGATTGTATCAGACAGTCCCAATTTATAAAGATTTTGTAAGAGGCATCCCAGGGGCAACAGCGGATCTGGCTTAGAACTGCAAGTGCCCATTTTAAAGTCTATGCCCAAGCACGTGGCCATAAGTCTATTATACAGCACATCTGCTTAAATAGCTCTTAGGCCTAACGGGGTCATGGAAATTGAATGCTAGGTGTCCCTAAAGCAAATAAAGTCCATCTCAGCTAGACCCGGTTTTGCCAGTCTAGCGCTGAACTGAGATCAAACTCTTGCCATGGGCCCACGGCTTCTACAAGAGTCCGATAATTGACAAAAGTAAGTATGAATGGGTTCCCCAAACCTTATAGCATAGACAACAAAAAGGGACTCACCAAGATGCAGCCGCTGTAGCCCAGGAGCCGGTTTTAGTGTGGCATGGCGAGTTCAGATTGTGGTCTAGGGAGTTTTCGACCCATGGCCTATGGCCACACGGAAAGGCAACCCTACCCAGTGGGACCTCCAAGATGTTAGGAATTTTGCTGAGCTCTCTGCCGACACAAAAATCCCAATCAAGCCAAATCACAACAAGCCAAATTAAAAAATATCCATGTTTAATGGGATTCCTGTGCTCTCGGGTGACCCCAAGGGGAAACCAGGAGGCCGTGGTGGTAATTGCAACCACTGGGGGAAGAGGAAAGAGACCCCCTGGGAACTTTCCGGGGGGGAAATCAGTTTAAATAGACTGGGGTGTGGTCAAGATTTTGGCGGGCTCATCTTGACACTCTTCCGGGGAGGAGTCAAGGCTTGGCGGGCACAGTGACGGGGCTTCCAAAGATGGAGGCCCAAGACCGGGACTTGGGATTTAGAATATCTAACTATAAAAGTGCTTGATTTCTGACTTATAACCTTCCTGCACACTATGTTTTAAAAACACATCATTTCAATCCCTTCTCTCACAGGTTCACAATGGAAAATGGGCGCTGAGTCCAGTTCAAACTGTCCCTATAGAGAAGCTCTACAGTGCCGAGGGCACCTGAGAGCCACCAAGGGGAGTAGGAGCCACTCATCCGAAGCAGGATACATGTTGGCCACACAACGAAGACACCTGTGCCCTCGGTGGTGAGCTCTGAGCATGAGGATTTTCCAAACAGTGGTATAATGTTTCCCTGTCAGAGGAAGTGACTGTTGAGTATTCCGCACCGCTCTGATACTCTGGAGGCAGGGTTCCCTGCTGACCATCTCCACCTGATGATCTCCCCCCCACCCACCCTTGGAGCTGCGATCCTGCAGTTTCCTTAGGACAAGTCTGGCTATTGCCCCCTTCCTGCCTCTTCTCCCGTCTTCCCTTCGGAGGAGAGTGGAGCAGGGCAATCAGTGGCTTTTTCCAGAGCAGAGCAATGACTTTCACTGGAGCAGAATTGTTAACGCTCTGCTGGGGAGGCCTCCATAGCTGGAACAAAACTCTAACACTTCGGCTGGGAAAGCTGTCCCTTCAGAGTTGCCCATAATCCCACAGCTCTTTTAAGCCCTTCTGGACCTCGGGACCCCATTCCCAACCCTTTGCTGTGAATGAGACCCCTACTCCTGGAGCTCAGTTTTTGTCCTCACCTTCCAGTCTCTACAAAAGCCCTGGTACCAGGCACTGAGTATCCCCACTGGCTTAGCCAGGCTAAGCGCCTGACCCCTCGGCAAGTGTGGGGACAACCCACTGAAAGGCTTGGTCATTCCTGAGTACTATACCCGCAACTACAGTCTGCAGTAACATTTTCCTTCTCTCTCATCCGTGAGACTGTGTCTTCCATACCCTCTCTTTTCCACTTGGATGCCTCTTAGAAAACCTGTAACTTCTACACCTGGCACCTGACCTGAAAGGCCCTAAATTTATTTATTCTTGTAATCAAATTTGGCTTCAATATCCCTTAGATAATCAATCCAAAGAATCACCCAATGGCACCTTAGATCCTAATATTGTGGGACCTTTACAAATTCTGTGAGTGATCCGTGCAAACAGAAAGAAATTCCGCGTTCCCTATTTTTCTTTTCTCAGCACCAAGCGCTGTTTTTGTCTAGGCTACCCACCATACAACGAGTATATGTCGGGTCTTTCAATTTACCAAGGACAGATCTGTAAGTTTGTTGCAAAGTGGGCCCAGGAGCCAGACAAAAAGGGAGGGGGAGGAAGCAAAGGGGCAGGCCAGTTGTGTCAGGCACACGCCCTACACTGGATCTTCACAGACTGGTGCATCTCTCAGCTCTCTCCCCAAGCGTCCTCTGTCTATAGCCAGAGCTGAAACTCCTAGCTGTAAGCTCCAAACCAGATGATTCTTCCTCTATTTTTTATTTTTATTTTTTTTAGTTGATATTTATTGAGCTCTACATTTTTCTCTTCTCACCTCCCTGACTTTTCCCTTTCCCCTTCAATCCTCCACTAAGGCCCCCATGCTCCCAATTTACTCAGGAGATCTTTACTTTTTCTACTTTCTACTTCCCATGTAGATTAGATCTATGAAGTCTCTCTTAGGGTCCGGGTTGTTGTCTAAGTTCTCTGGGATTGTGGTTTGCAGACTGGCTTTCTTTGCTTTATGTTTAAAAACAATCTTTGAGTGATTACATATGATAATTGCCTTTCTGGGTCTGGGTTA